TGAAAAGCTGAATGGCCTTTAACAATGATTCACTAAGTATTGCTAGGCTACTGTAATATACTCAGCTCAGACTGCGTAGCCAGCTTGGGCTACACGCGGTCAAGCGCCAGCGTCGAGCTTCGCTCAAAAAGACAATGGACGGTGCGGATCCTAGCCGCACCAATCAGGGGGCACACTCGACCACTGTAAATAACCTATTGGGAAGTAGGGGTGTGTTATGGGTGGCGGTTTCATGGGAAATATAAGCCGGCCTGCAAGCCAGCTAACGTCATCTTGTTCCTGATCTAATAAAGTACGCTAAGCTGAAATCACTCTCTGTCTGCGTACTTTTCAGCTACAGTCCAGTGATCTTTTCCACTACTGTTAAGTAAGAGCTGAAACATTAGTGGCTCCTCTCTTGGCCATTTCTTCCTTGTGTCTTCTACCAATCATTGTCCTCAACTGGCTATAGTAAGTAAGGCTGTTGTAACATAGCAATGGCAGAGGAGGGGGAAGGAAAAACAGCAAGGATCAAGAGATCACCATCGCTGCAGCTGCTTTGTCTCCTGTCTCCTGGTTAATTTTAAAGCTGCAATGTGATTCTCCAGGTTGCAACCTAACTACAAGATTAAAGTCTACTGTGGCATTAGCACATGACCATTATACAATGAATCTTGGCTTCTGAGAAACACAGAAATAAGAAAAGGGCTAGTCCTTTCATGCCTTTATACAGGGAACCAACAAATACATGGTATAAGAGTAAGTCCAATGACAAATGTATTGACATTTTTTCTTTTAGGTACCCATGTTATTTGCTAACAAACTCTATTCTCAGTATCAACATGCTTAATTCTATTTAAATATGCTCCTAGATATATTCTTTACCCAGAAGAGGTGATACTTCAGTCTAGCTTATGCAAACACATTCTGCATTATTAATTAGCAGAAAACAAGGTCAGAGCAACCAATTTTATTTCTGTTACTGAGTAACTGTTGTGAGAAATGGTGCACTATGCCTCAGATTCTCCATATGCCTGATAAGCAGCTTTGAGGTAACTAAATGAAAATCATTTTTTACTACCTACACACTTTTCTGTGTTTTTATTGTATCAACGTATACTGTGCTTGTTAGATGTCTCCTCATTGTTTGTATTGATTTACACTGTGTAATCCAGTGAGATAAGCAGATATAAATATATACTAAACAATTATAACGTTTTGAATCAAGAGAGACATAGCAAGTAATCAAGCCAGTAATTGTATCTGCTTTATCTCTACCTTGCAGGTATGAAGCTTGTAAAAATGATTTCACTTGTGTCAATAACTGGTTGACAGACTGGGAAATTGATGAAAAAGGAGAAAACCATTGTAAGAATGAGTGCATCCCCTACAGCCAGGTAACGTACTGTAAGTAACCCATGAGCCACTGAAAGAACCAGAGGGCTTCACACAGGGGAAGTCCATGCCTTGCCTGCTGCAGTTCTGCATCCAAAACCAATGCTTAATGGTGTGATCCTAAGAACCCTTTACTACTGGGAGTAAGCCCATTGAATAGATCAGAGTAGGATTCTGAGTAGACCTGTTTAGGATGGCACTGTTATTATAGCAGGTGTCATTTACAGAAATAAAAAAACCTTGTCCCCCACTTATCCTGCACTCACGCACAAAGTCCATTATCCAGGCCAGCATAGTTAATTGACACCACTGTTTATAAAATTAAATCACCATATTCTAAGCCAAGTGAGAAATTGTGAAGATCAAGTACTATAACAGTATTTATTTAAAACTGTTAAGTCTAAAATAGTGTGTCCCAAACTTCTGATACCTGCCACTCTAGTACTAAACTGGAAGTTTAATTTTAGAAGATGTGAGAAGAACCCACCAACCTGTTGTGTTTATTTTTGGGTTTACAGATCATGCTTTCTGTTTGGAAAACACCAAGCCTAGAGTAGGGACACAAAAAGAGAGACAAAATCAGACTACAAGGAGGACAAGTAATTCTGCTTGAGTCAACTTGAGACAATAATGCTGATGCAGGGAGACAAGTGAATTACCTACCTGCAGTGGAAGCTAATTTAAAGGATGCCAGGCGAGAGCAGTGAAAGGCATGGAGATAAAGCAGACAACTTCCTTTATGGATGAATGTTTTGGCCTTGTGGGAACCTCCAATTTGATTTATGTCTTGTGAGACATTAGGTCAGGTCTCTCCTTCTCTGGTTGTAGCACTAATATGCCCCAGCCTCCAGTTGGGGAAATACTGATCAAGAATTTTAAAAGGTCCAGGCTTCAAATTTCCTTCCACTCCCTAACGAGGGCATTAAATTATATAGCAACTTTTTCTTGCTACGGCACTTTTCTCAACTCAGTCTGCTGATCAAGCCATCTCCAACTAGTTCTTAAACACTTCTCCATTCATGTAGTTCTTTAACGTTAGAAACACGGGAAGAAAATTGTGATTTCTCTTTCAGTTGGCCCATGTAGCTAATTGCAGAGCTGCTGAGATCCAAAAGGCATAGCCTTGGCCAGCACCCTGAAGTCAGGACACCACCTAGAGTTGCCAAGCTCCAAGTTGGGCCTGGAAAGCTTCCAGAATTACAGCTGATTTCCAGGCTACAGAGTATCACTTTGCCTGAAGGAAAGGGCTGCTTTGGAGGCTAGACTCTATAGCATTATGCCTTTTTGAGGTCCCTCCCCTCCCCAAGCCCTGCACTCTCCAGGCTCTACCCCTAAATCTCTAGGAATTTCCCAACTCAGAGAGTTGGCATGGTAACCCTAGCATCATCACTGTTTGTTCTCATTGTGGAGCAATCAGCAGCCTCCTGCCTGTGTGAATTATTGGAAAAGTCTTCTTAGAATTATTATAATATAATGTGACTGTTCAATACAACATCACCATGTTTGGACTTGTACACATGTTAAAGCCTCAAAGCTTCATCCTGTCCTACATCTTGTTTGTTGAAGTGGGCCCAGTACAGAGTAGAAAAACGTGGATCAAATTGTGCAGCCTATGGAGGCACAAGGGCACAATAAGAGCCCTTTTGAGCCTGCAAGGCTAAATGTTGCAAAACTGACAGGTTTTGCCTCTCTGACTCTTAGATGTATTCCAATGGGACTGACATGTGTGAGACCATGTGGGGGAAATCACTGAAGGTAAGCAAGTCTACTTGCCGCTGCTTGAACCTGAATGAGACTGATGCCAGCCTCCTCAAGTACATAGTACAAGACAGTTCTAGCAGCAGCAGCAGCAGCAGCAGCAGCAGCAGCAGCAGCGAGGAGCGTGCCTGTCACAAGAAGGTGATCAAACTGGAGCAGCTGAAGGAGGCAGAAGAAGAAGGCCTAGAGAAAGAGTGAGTGCCAAAGTCTTGGTAGTGTGTATGGTTGCAATGCTTAGGTGCTGGCTTTGATAGGACCAGATTAGATTGTTCTGCCATCCATATTTGGGAGAGCACATTAGCTAAATCATGATTTAAAAAAAAGGTGCTGCCAGTTTAATCCCTTGCTTCATTTACTTACTTTACACAGTGCATCATAACACTGTACGAGTGGTTTATTCTCTTGTGGCCAAGACACTTGCAAGTTCCAGTGAATTGCAGAATCATATAATCAGGGGTCGTTTCGTAGAAAAAGAGCTAGGGGAACGCATTAGCATAACTCATTAGCATATGCCACACCCCCTGACATCAGGGGCCCAGCGGTGGACCTGCAAGGCCGGCGGGAGTGTGAGGAAGCCCCGCCAAGGCCCTCCCTGGCCCCAGGCAGGCAGGGGTGGGGAGAGGCGGGGAGGAAGCAACTTACCCTCCCTCTTCTCCTGCCTCCTCCTGGCTGAATGAGGGGCAGAAGCAGGGCGACTGGAAGCAGGGGGTGGGGCTTCGTCATGTGCCCCGCCCCCCGCACCTCACCCGGAATGACCTCTGCATATAATCCATTTCTTTTCACTTTCTGAGTCCTATTTAGGTGCAGGCCTGTAACCAGGATTTTTTATCCTGGGGGGCGCTGGGGTTCAGGGGGCTGCTGGTGGGCAGAAAAAGCTCACTGCTGGTGGTGGGGGCCTCAGCAGCTCCAGCAGCAAGGAGGCTATGCAGCAGCCACCCCTTCCCCTCACTGGGTCTTCTTGAAAAGTCCCGGTGAGGAAAGGAAGATGGCAGGCCGGCGTTGTTGCCGTCCGAGTCTTCTCCCTCCTTGCTAGCAGGAAGAAGACTCGGCGGTAGGCAACAGAAGTCATGTTTAAAAAACCCCTCTCTGCTCAACTGGCTGGCGGGGAAGAGAGGGGAGGTACAGCCTCTTGCCGGCAGAGTCTTCTTCTTGCTTGCCACATGGCTGCCCCCTCCCTGCCCTCTCTTCTCTCAGTGGAGAAATGTATCCAATGGAGAAATCATACCACTGCTGCAGCAGGACTCCAGAGAGGGGGTTTAAAGTTTGAACCCACTTTCTGCTCAGCTGGTGGGTGAGGGGGGGAGAGGGCCCAGCGCATAGCCTCCGTTGCCAGCTGCAGAGTCTTCTTCCTGCTAGCAAACAGGATGAGTCCCAGCGGCAAGACTTCTTGAGCTCCCTCCCCCCCCCGCCTGCCAGCTGTGGCATAGCAGACTTCACTTTGAGTGGAGGGAGGCGGTGCCGCCGCAGCTTCTTCTCATCATTGTCTTTTTGTTTAAGGGTCCATTTGGCGTGCGGACATGTGCCTTCTAAAATGTTAGGAAATGGATATTAAAATCACTATTTGAGGGAAATCTTGTGGGACTGTCCCTTTAAGGGAGGGGGCAGAGCCCCCAGTAGCCCTGTCATAGCTAAGGGGCAGTTTGAGTGTATCTGTGCTTGGAGGGTTGCCCTGAAAACAGGACATGGTTGCCCTCTTATTGCCTTCATCCTCACCTCCCGTAGCTTCCAGTAAGGAAGCAGGAATCGCCTACTGGTTGGTTCCCACCAGGTGCCTTCAGACTGCATTACTGGATTTGGATCTATGATTGGGTTTTATTTCTTCTTGTTCTGATTAATACTTCCCTACAACTGGATAGCCCAGGCAAGCCTGATCTCGTCAGATCTCGGAAGCTAAGCAGGGCCGACTCTGGCAAGTACTTTGAAGGGAGACCTCCAAGGAATACCAGGGCTTGGGATGCAGAGGCAGGCTAATCAAGCCACCTCTCTGAAAAATGTCCAAGCCCCCAGTAGGGTTCACCAGAAGTCACCATGACTTCCAGGCAAGCACACAAACACACACACACGCTTGCTTCCTGGGATTTGGTCTGTGATTTTCATACAACATGGTCTTGCCATGTTCTGGGTTCTACAGGATCCTGTGAAAAGAATCTATTCTGGCCAAGTGCCTAACAGGTTCTACTTCAATGAAAATATCTGAAATCCTAATAATAGAGACTGCTATAATAGATTGTCCACAACTGTGTTTAAAACAAGTAGGAATAGGTGAATTCTAGCAGTTCAAGTTCAGAAATAATTCACAACTAATAGATTATTTTTCCAGATTTCAAATTGTGTTAATCTGAGAGATCCAAATTATTTTAGAATGTTGTCTGACTCAGATTCAGTTTGGCTCAGTATGGTGTGGCACAGCTTAACAAACAGGCATACCAATTCTCAGTATTGCTCTGATAATACAATATTTAGATTCTATTATACCATTCACAGGCCTGCAACAGATTTCAGTAAGTTTTCCCCCCACACTCCACAGTCTTCCCCAGCCAACAACTGAAATAACTCCAGTTGTTCCTGGAATTTTGCATTAACTAAGTGCAAGCAATGGAATTTAGGTCTCCCAAGGTACATGGAAGTTCTTTCTGCCCTTCCCAACTCCCTCCCTTTCTCTTCTGTATGGGTGAAATCACAGACACTTTCAGTATAAGAAGCTGTTCCATGTGACTATGTTCCACTAAGGATTACTCTAACAGTGATGCATATGCATAGACATACATAGGTAATCCAGTTGTGAGTCCTCACCTATCCAGGTGTTTTTCAGACTGTAGCTGCCTTTTGCATTTTCACACATTTGTGCCACTTCTGATGATTGTGCTATCTGTGAGATCAGTTCAGACTTCCCCTTACAGATCCCATTGGTCCTCGGTTCCCCCGCCAGTTTTTTTGCACATGCGCTGAAACAGCAGCCTTGTTCTCTTCCTTGGAACACAGGGGCAGAGTGCAGACACCTTAAATGAGAGTAACCACATTGGCTTAAGAATGTTTAGTCTTGTGTAAGGCACAGGCAGCTCTAGAACAGCAACTCTGAAGCACACAAGATCATTTATTTACTTAATTATATGGCCCCTGATATTTTTAAACTGAAAACATTAAAAGAATGTAACTAAAAGAAGGGTTTTCCCCACTGAGGAGAAAGGTGTGGTCAAGAGATGACCTGGTGGATTTTACACAAGAATAGCACCATTGGCTTCAGTATTACTCTTGTGTAAAGTGAGGACATGATCCCAGCTTTCTCAGGCTGGAGAGGGAAAGAGGTAGAGAAAGGAGACCAGCCCAGACACACACACACACACACACTCACGAGGCAGAGCAAAGAAGAAAGTGCCCCAATGAGAATAACTGCTTGTTTGAACGCATGCGCCCTACATCACTGACACATTTTGCCACTGGGATGCAAATTAAAAAAACAACACCCAAACCCAACCACCCGACCTTTCTGGGTGGGTTTTGGTGAATGGGTTGTGTCAGAAGTCACCAATAAAAAACTTAGTTCAGATTATGGGCAAAAGCTTTCTTGCGAATATATTTCACTTTGGGGGGGAAAGTATGACATAAACCAGTTTTATTAGAAATTGAGAAAAAACAGGGAATAAATGGGACAGCGGTGGGATGTTTACAAAGTTGTTTGAACACAGTTAAAAACACGTTAACATCGGGTAATGCAAATGGAATTTTAACGTGATGTGAAAAAGGAGCCAGGCAGGCAGGGTGGTTGTAGCCACAGGCTATCCAGGCCAGCTTTCCTGGGCTTCATGCTGGGAGTGCCCCACTGGACCCCACACAGGCCAACCCAATCCCCACACAGCTGGCTGGGCAGGCAGGCAGGTTTTTCTCCCTCCCTCCTTTGGCGGAACAGGATGCTTCCACCTTTCCACACTGCCTGAGACTGGGGGAGAGGACAATCAGATTACAGTAGTGGGGGTCTCAGGGGTTATAGGACAGCTGGGGGGGCCCACAGCCACGATGACTCCGGAGATTCTGGAATCATAGTGGCAGTCTAGAAGTCATAATATGTGCATGGGTGCCCCTTCCTGTGATTCTCATGCGCTATCTGTGAGTTTTGCCTGTGGCCCCAGAATCCCTAAAGCTGCCCCTGCAGACTAGCCTCTTGTTCATAATCTCCTGAATTGATAGGGCACCAGTTGCAACAGTTGAGAGATAAATGCTGGTAGAAAACCAAGCTATGACAGGGCTTGGAAACGAAGATGTATACACCACTACAGTGCAGAATTACAAGAACTCCATTTTTAGATCTGCAGAATTCTCTTCCACTGTCATCTAAATGTGAAAAAAGGGATTTCAGCAGCTCCTTTTTTATAGTATGGAGGCACAGTTTTAAAGGTATGAATTTCCTACACTAAGGATGTACTTGGGTGCAGGAGAAGGATTGAAGATTGTGACTATTGTAAGGACTACATCAGTCTTAGGAAAGTGGGCATCTCCTCCATCTGTATTAACACAGCAAAATTTAGATTTTGTATGTGTGCTCATGAACTGGCTCATGAACATGAAATGCAAATTCCTTTTTCTGTATTTGTCTCTGCAGTGTGGCAGAAATTCCGTGAGCCTTTGCCTGTCAGAAATCTGAGGATCACCACGAATCGGGCATCATGAATACTCCCTCTCAGCATTCCTGCACCTTTACCAATGCAAAATCAGAATCTGTGCTGACTTCCTTTTCTAAAAACAAAGGAGACCTCAGATTTAATCTGTATGATCAGTTACTTTTGTTAATAGAGGTTCTGGTATCCGTCAAGTTGATTTCTCTATGGCATCCTTGCTGGTAGAAACCAAAATCACAATTAGCCACTATTATATATCAGATTTTCAGGCTGTAAACTATTATATATCAGACACCAAGGCTTAGACATACCTAAGAAAGGATCTCTGCTTCTCTTCACTCTTCAGAGGGCATAAGAATAGGTTCTGATTGCATCTTGTATTCACTGCTCCACCCATGCTTCAGGCAATATCTCTGCTTTTTCTCTCAAGTGTCTTGTTTGCTTATCCATTCAAACATTTGTTTGTTTTTAAATAAAGGTATGGGGGGGTTACACTTGAAAAAGTGCTAGGTGGGAGAGTGTCCAAGACTGACCCACCCAAAGGCCAACCAGTCTGCATTGTAGACAGTCTCTCCAGCTGCACTC